AAAATTTAAAGTTTTTCAGATATGAAAATTAAATATATATAAAAAATTAATATGATTTAATAAATTTAAAATAAAAAAAAAAGTTCTCCTGCGCTGGGATTTGAACCTACGACCCAACGTTTAAACAAAGAATTGTCAAAAACCAACGCGCTTGCCAACTGAGCCACCGAACTTTTCATGCGTGTTGTAATGTGATGCTTGTTTTGTTTTCGATCCGTTGAGATCATTAGCTTTTCGTTGCTATGCAACAACAACAAATAGCGAACGTTACATTTTTGTTTTCGGTAATAAACATCCCTTAGCGCGGACTCTCAGTGAGCGCATATTTTGTGTGTTGAATCCACACACGCACTCGCACTAGTATAAAGAGCTATAAATAGATCATTGGAAAACATGTGACATCCAAGAATGCAATAAATTATACAGTCCAATCCGCTTAATTGAAACTGGCCGAATGCAGTGAATTTGTTTCAAGTATCCGAGCGTTTCAATAATAATGGCAAGTCCGAATAATTGACATATGTTTCATTTAACCGAAGTTCAATAAATTGGGTCAATAATTCTGGAATAAAATTTCAGCAATAAATCGAATTTTTTAAGCATTTCATTTCATTACATTATCCACAAAAATAGCTTTAAACTTTCAGAATTTCAGATTCTTTCTAATTTAGCGGTCAATGTTCCAAAATTAGTCACCACTTAAAAATCCAACGCATTTTAGTGGTCTATTTTCGCACAGTGGTCTTTACAGGATTTCAGGATATTTTCAGAAAGTCGTCCAATTTAGCTTTCTGAAACGGTTTTAGAATATAAATGGTATAAAGAACTCCTCGAGACCTTACATTAAAGCCCAGTTTCATCCACCCATCTTTTATAACGTAGCTGCTTTAGTCGTTTTGGCCTGATCTACATTTTCGATTTAATATATTTTATCGGTTGAATTTATTTTACGTAGGTCTCTGATTTTTGTTTAAATAATGTTGAGATCTTATAGGAAGGTGATTTTTTATTTTATTGTCATATATGTGCTATAAATACAAAACAAAATAATAAAATCTAAAAAATCCAATTTATCTTCGCACTCATCACTATGTAACTCCTTAATATAGCTCTGTTACTGAGTTAAGAAAGTTTTGTTAACATCCACTCTGTTAAATATCCTATTTAAATTGTCCAATTTATCTTCACACCCATGAATTTTTCAAAAATTTTATTAGCTAGGATGAAAGTACTCTCCATTAGCTTTCTATAGGTACCCATGTTATCCCGGCAGAATTGTCCTGGAAGGAGCAGTGGACAAAATAATTGTCCTTGCCCCAGGACTTCGCCAGTTTTTGTTAAATACCCCCAACTCGGGCGGAATTTTTCTATAATTTTATTAGCTAGGATGAAAGTACTCTTCATTAGCTTTCCATAGGTGCCCATGTTGTCCCGGCAGAATTGTCCTGAAAGGAGCTGTGGACAAAAAAATTGTCCTTGACCCAGGACTTCGCCAGTTTTTGTTAAATACCCCCAACTCGGGCGGAATTTTTTAATAATTTTATTAACTAGGATGAAAGTACTCTCCATTAGCTTTCCGATGATACCCATGTTGTCCCGGCAGAATTTTCCTGAAAGGAGCAGTGGACAAAATAAGTATCCTTGCCCCAGGACTTCGCCTGTTTTTGTTAAATAACCCCAACTCTGGTGGAATTTTTCTATAATTTTATTAGCTAGGATGAAAGTACTCTTCATTTGCTTTCCATAGGTACCCATGTTGTCCAGGCAGAATTGTCCTGGAAGGAGCAGTGGACAAAATAATTGTCCTTGCCACAGGACTTCGCCAGTTTTTGTTAAATACACCCAACTCGGGCGGAATTTTTTAATAATTTTATTAGCTAGGATGAAAGTACTCTCCATTAGCTTTCCGATGATACCCATGTTGTCCCGGCAGAATTTTCCTGAAAGGAGCAGTGGACAAAATAAGTATCCTTGCCCCAGGACTTCGCCAGTTTTTGTTAAATACACCCAACTCGGGCGGAATTTTTTAAAAATTTTATTAGCTAGGATGAAAGTACTCTCCATTAGCTTTCCGATGATTCCCATGTTGTCCCGGCAGAATTGTCCTGGAAGGAGCAGTGGACAAAATAATTATCCTTGCCCCAGGACTTCGCCAGTTTTTGTTAAATACACCCAACTCGGGCGGAATTTTTTAATAATTTTATTAGCTAGGTTGAAAGTACACTCCATTAGCTTTCCGATGATACCCATGTTGTCCCGGCAGAATTGTTCTGGAAGGAGCAGTGGACAAAATAATTATCCTTGCCCCAGGACTTCGCCAGTTTTTGTTAAATACACCCAACTCGGGCGGAATTTTTTAAAAATTTTATTAGCTAGGATGAAAGTACTCTCCATTAGCTTTCCGATGATACCCATGTTGTCCCGGCAGAATTGTCCTGGAAGGAGCAGTGGACAAAATAATTATCCTTGCCCCAGGACTTCGCCAGTTTTTGTTAAATACACCCAACTCGGGCGGAATTTTTTAATAATTTTATTAGCTAGGATGAAAGTACTCTCCATTAGCTTTCCGATGATACCCATGTTGTCCCGGCAGAATTTTCCTGGAAGGAGCAGTGGACAAAAAAAGCATACGGAATTGTCTTGCCACATATGATGCCATTACGAGTGAGGGGTTTTTCTTAGTATGGCCAATAATCTTATAAATTGTTTATTTTTGAATGTTACGCATGTTTTTATTAAAAATAACTGATAATTCTAATATTTTTTAAAAAAATAGTAATTTTTATTAGCTTTATTAAAATTAACATTGCGCTGTTAACGTTAACATTGCTCTGTCAATAGCTCTGTTAACTTGATGGTTTGTGTCTTTGCTAGATAAATACTGAATTTATCTTAACGGACCTGTTGTTATTATTGTTTCTGTTAAATCAGAATAAAAAATTTAAAAATTCAAGACTACAGCACAAAGGAACAACCTGCTGCAGTTGTTAGTTAACGATTCTAATGAATGAATATTTATTAATTTCCGTCCAAGTAACTGACCACCAATATCTGTCCCAGTACAGCCTCTGTGGGCGCTCGAAGCTAATACACCAACAAAAAAACACGTAGCTGTTCAATTCAATTCAACAAACTCCCATAATAATGAATGTTTGAAATGCATAAATAATTGCAGCGAAATGAAAAAATGTGTAAAATGAAGTGCACACTTGCAAATATTGTTGTCGACACACGACACACGTAATGATCGCGATGGTGGTGGGGTAGCGAAGCTGGCAGTGGGTTACTAGTCTCAGGAAACACGTTTCACACACGGTGAGATGTGTCTATGGAGAAATGTTGCATAAAAACCACTAACCATGAAATCAGAGAAAAAAATTAAAACAAAATAAATATGTTTGTATGTTTGTTTGCGTTTTTGTTGTACGAGTATGCATCTGTCAATAAGTCGTTTGTCCAACTGTGTGTTGTGAATTCCGATACTAGTTTGTTGAATTGAAGATCACATGCATGGAGATCGTTAACAACGTTAGTGAAAAATTTATTTACGATCTGAACATATGATGACAAATACTTGATATTCTATCTATGGAAGATACATTTTTTATGTATAGAGAACTTGTAGAAGGTCTTGTAAATATAGAAGACTTACATAATGGCTTCTATTCTCGGAAGACTTATAAAAGTTTTCCTACGTTTGAAGACCTGTAGAAGTTTTTTATCTACAGAAGACTTATAGAAGGACTCTCAATTAAGAAATACCTATAGAAGTTTTTATATGTATAAAATACCTATAAAATATATTTTATTGAGAGAAGACTGTCTATATCCAGAATATATATATATAGATCCATATATAGGAGATCTATAGAATTTCTTCTTTATATAGAAAATATACAGAATGTATTCTACGTATAGAAGAATTATTTAAGTCTTTTGCCTATGGAAGCATTTATATTTATAGAATGCATATGTAAGTTCTTCTGTGTGTAGAAGTCCTGGGAAGGTTTTCATTTTGTATAAGAACTATTTGCAGAGTATAGAGTTTATTCTGCCTGCGGAAGATCTATAGGTGGTCTTCTTTTTATAGAAGAAATATAATCTGTTTTGTCTACAGAAGGACTTGAGGACTTTGAGGATATTCATAAAAGTCCTGTAGAAGTAATTCTGTGTATACAATGTCTATAGAAGATCAACAAGTATAAGATATTCTATAGATCGTTTTCTGCCAAAAGAAGGTTGTCTGAATGTAAAAAAAGGAATTATTTTCAATATCTATTGATTTTCTATACGTATTTTATACCAATCCAATCTATGATTAATCACGTTTTTTTCCAAACACCGGCGTTTTTAGTTAATTGTCATTTTGATTGACTTTTTTACGCTCACACATCGGTAATGTGACACTTGTTGAAATCAAACATGTCGTTGCAGCAAAAACCAAACATACAAATAAAATAAAAAAATACAAAAAATAATTGGCAATTATTACAACAAATTGAATTATGGTGTCAAGTTCATATCAAATCAAATACAAAATCAAATATTGAAATTGAAATGTGTAATTAATTGTTAGGCTAACATAAATGATAAATGACATAACTAAAACAAAACAACAACAACAATAAAAAGAGAATATTAAATATGAAACAGCACAGGTACCTAGTGTATGTTTCTTTACTAAACCCAAAGATAATTGAATTTTAATTCTAATGCCATATAGTGGAACTAATGAGAAGACAATGATGTGAAGCCCACATAAGCATAATAGAAACAAAAGACTTAAGCCACATACTTGAACATGATAATCTACGTGAGCAAAGACTTATGGGGGTTTGTTTTTGTTTCCTATTCTGTTTTGTTTGCAAATTTCTTTCTGCGGTGTAATGCACAAGGAATATGCATAACACATTCAACAATTACTCCAACGCCACCATTATTGTTGAATTACCTTCTGATGCATTATTTTAAATGATCTGTTCAAAATGTCACCAAACTAAATGAATTATATGTCAAATTTAGAAAATTGTCACATACATCATTTTTTGGTTAGCTGGTTGCTTTCTTCGTCGGTCGACGGTGGTTTGCTGAGTAATATTTGTCGTGGTATTGGTGTTAGGCCCCACAAGGTGTGAAGTAATAATTTTTGTTTAAATAATAAACAAATTATTTACTGATTGTTGTTGATGTAGTTTTCACAAACGAGACAATCACGACTCTGACAAAAGACCGAAAATTCGAATCCAAGCTAAATGCCCATGCACCACCTAACACTCTGGAGGTATTATTTTGCCGGTATCTGTCATTCGCGGTGTGTGTTGCTACTGGAGCAATGCTAATGTATCAAGTCATGATTTTACATTTTTAGAATGTACAAATTTATTTATTTTTTCGTTTAAATTTCCTATTAGATGTTAAAGATGATGGAATATGTTAATGTATCTGCATTTATAACTTATTTGTTGTTTTTTTACAGCTTACAGGAATCAGTTACCTGCTAGTCACTTGCTTAGCTACTTTGAGCACAGCGATACGAGTGGATTGGAATACAAATACCGGCCCCATTATACCGCCAACACCTCGCACCACAGTACGACCAATACCGCCATTCCGGGAACCAGCACCAGTTTGGGAGGACCTTAGCAATGATATACCAAATCCGAATCCATATGTGTGAGTATAAGAAAAATAGGAGTATAGAAAACAAAGTGGAAGTTTTCGGGGTATTCGTTCACAGTAATTACAAGGGGCTAATTGCTCTTCTTTTTATGAAAATATATCTGAGATTTATACAATAATTTAAAACACAATAACATGCCTTTGCACACATTCCACAGGTTGAGGGTTTTGAAGCTTTTAATAGAAGGATATTTTATTCAACTTTTTTCAATACATAAATAGAATTCCAGTTTGTTTCCATCTACAGATAGAAGACCATTAGAAGAATCTCCACATATTATTGCTACTACATACATATTTTAGGCCTAATAACTGGCTGTTTTTTTTTTTTTGGATACCATTAATTATACAAACATATTTTTGAACACGCCTGCAGACGACGAAAAATATTGACCATATATTTATTCTTGATTTGTGACAAATGCAGGACTTCACGGGGTGCCACGTTAGGGCTGTGCGGACGTGATCCGTTGGTTTAAGCTCGCATTGTCATGATACACAATGATGATGATACACATGATATCTTCTCTTGTTCGTTTTTCGAGTTTCTCGGAAGACATTAGACCTGCGTTGACCAAGCGAAACAATCGATCCATGGTCAGACGATCATTAGTTTTGAAGTGTTTCTTCCTCGAATGACTTTTGTTAGATTTGGATCGTTTTCGAAGTCCCTCATGTTCGATTGCTGTTTGGATTTGTGATCATACCCATAGATTTATATACCCCCACCATAACGTGGAGTATGTATTATCCATCTAACGGTCCATGTTTTGGTATAGCCCCAATATAAACATAAATTATCAATATCGGTTCACATTTTAGGATAGCTGATTATAACAAACTTCCAAATCCACCAAATAATGGGGTGTACTATTATGTGTCTTTGGAAGATTTGTCAGGGTTTTCAGTCAAATCGGCCATAGTTTAGTATTTTGAATTCTCATTGGTATCAAATTTACCTACCCAACATTATCAATATGGGTACATTTTTTAGCCCCGTTACATGGGGCTAAAAAATGTACCCATTGATGCGTTTTTAACTTAATTGGCTATAATTTGGTTCGGCCCGATCGAAATTAATGATTTTTTTTATCGATATGAGCCAATTTGATCAATTTATAAATTATACGGCATTAAGGGAAGATATATATTTACAGACAAACTTTCAAGCATTATAGAATTTATGCTAGTGTAATAATGCCCAAGGATGTCTCCTTCAAGGCAACAATTCCGACAGTATTTCGTCAAATTCCTACAAGGCAGTTTGAGTACTATACAACCACAATATATAAGAGAAAAAATATATTAAACAAGGAAGAAATATTCAGTCCTAGAATAAACCCTTTTGAATGTGAAACAACTTTAAATCATCACGACCAAGTGGAGACAAAACCTAAAATGAGCTAACATTTCCTTTCCTTTATTTTTTCTTTTTTACATTTTTTTCAGTTATGTCTTACCGCCACCCTCACGACCCAAAACAAGACTCAACACCAATGTCAACTACAATACAAAACCCAACAACTACGGAACCTTGCTAAGACCACAACAGACCAGCTACTATCAACAGCAGAGTCAACAAGTTTCCGGATTGGCGCCACAATACATACCCAATGTTGGTACACGTTATGTGGCTGTGGTACCAACGAAATCGAATGGGGCAGCAGGAACTACGACTGTGGCGAATGTACTTTCTTCCAGTGACAATGAAAACGGCTACAAATTCCAGGGCAAATACAATGCCAAGACGAAAAAATACAAAGTCTACGAGAAAGTCAAATATGTGCCAATTAATTATGTAAGAGTTTATAATTATCGTTATTTTTAAGTCACAATTTGTCACAATCAACCTTATCCTGCCTCAGTGATGCTTTTTCCCCTCCCACTTTATTTTGATTTTAAAACACAAATTTATGAAATTAGTATTTTTTTAATTCTATCACATCTGGCTTTAAAAGTCTTGGGATGTTCTATTTTAAGAAAAACGAAAACACAAAATAAAATATATTTTTTTTTAACTTTTTAATTGTTTTTGGTGGTTATTTGCAAAATTCTATTTCTCTCATTTCCATTGACTAACACACACATACACAAAAATCATTTGTCTTACATTGCATCTTTTAACAATTTTTGTCATTTCTATAGTATACTGAGCTTGAGGAAAATGATAGTGTCAGGGAGGCCACATCGAAGCGTAATGTGCCAGCTGAAATACCCGTTTGGGCTCCTTTGGACGAAGAAGAAACGCCCAATGCGGAATACACTGTTAAATTTGATAATTTTGTAGCAACGGCCGAAAAACTTATTGCCACAACTCCGCTCACAAATGTCAGCAGCACAAATACTTCGTCGACAACTTCAACGAAATCCACAACAACTACAGTATCCTCGACCACAACAACAACAAAAGCCCCCACAAAGTCTTCCTTTAAATTCTATTCGAAACATGTTTATCCCAAGGATTCGACGCTGAAGCTCAAGGAAAAACTCAACAAGAAAAGTTGAATTGCCCTATGAGAAGAGAAATAGTTCTAAGTCTACCACCACCCTTACAACTACTACTATACACACACATGCATGAAAAAGTTCCATTTGTTATTCATTTGTATTTTGTTATTTAAAACTTAACACGATTTAGAATCTCAACAATAACATCACTAACTGCACTTCTTCAGATATACATATTAAATTTTGAATACCAACTTCAACATTTCGAATTAGAGTTTTTCAGTTACAACTATCTACTACTAATACACATACATGTCTACCCATGTTTGCCATATTTTCTTTGGTACATCAAAATTCACAAATTGTAAATAGAGTATTAATCTGTTATTCAAAGAAACACACACAAATATCGACTTCTTCAAAAACAAAATATTCCTTAAAAGGATTATAAAACAATAAGGTCATGTTATTATTTTTATACATATATATATAATTTTACATGTAAATAAATATTATCATTTATTTTATATACAAAAAAAAAAAAATAAATAAAAAAATAATGAAAGAATTGACTTATATTTAATTCAGATGGTGCTAGGAATTTTTAAAAAGTTACATAGCAAGTAGTTTTCTTAACATAAGATACAGAAAAGTATTTTTTTTCAATAAAACTCTTCCGAGTTAGTATCAAATTCCCTTAGAACTGTGCGTTATCAATAACGACGTATACGAATTGAGATTAGCTTAAAAACCAAAATGCGTAACAAGAAAGGAGAAAAGTCGCAAAAAGGTTGCAAATTGCGACTTTATCCGCACAACGGTTACCCTGTCATAGACTGGGGGGTATATATTTGTCGACAACACCGACTGATATTTATTTGTTTTTTGCTGAAGTTTAAAGTTAATGCTGGGGAAGCATGGGAACTGGTGCCCGTGTTTACATGTATCAGTGAACTCGTTCTCTGCCTTCTGTTTTTGTAAGACATTTCATATGGCGGTTTCTTCTTTACTCTCTTTCACACCTTTTTTCACACCACTATTTAAAGTAAACTCATAAAGTTTAAAAAGCATTAGAAAACCTGAGGTGCCTGACTGAGCTTATGTCCGTTATTGTTTTGTCAATTAAGATTATTATTATACAAATTCGACACATATACGCACAAAAATGTTTACGTACCTGTTTCATTGCGTGTTCACTTTTGTTGATGTCCTAACACGTCACAGAATAGAAGCTTGAAGATAATTATCTATTCAAAACACTTGTTGTTTTCTCATTAACACGTTATGGCAAAGAAATTGTACCACGAGCAGCAAATACAACAACAATTTGAATGTAATTTCATCATCTATCTTATAGTCTCAATGACAGCATTGATTTTATGGGAGAGTGATGGTTGTGGAATTTTCACTTAACACTGTTAATGTGTACACAAAAATGACAGCTTATCATAGCTCTCTCCCTCTCTCTCTCTCGTTGAATCACGGACAAGAGAATAACAGTGATTGCTTTCTTTTTGGACAACTAAAAATCTCTTGTATTTAATGAATTACCAACAGAATTATATTGACTTAATGAAGGATTTCTTTTTAAATAATGAATTTACAATTATTTGCACTTTATTCTCTAGTTAATAATCAAATATAACTTTAAACACATTGCACTACAATTAGAACGATCATTCGCGACCGACCACCTGTTATTGAACTTGACAACTGGTGCAGGCAAAGAAAGCAAAACAAAAGTGAAAAACAGTGTTGTCAACAACGTGGAAACTACATATTTCAGACGTTTGTTTAATTTGGTGTTTTTACGCATTTTTTAATTACAATGGAACTTTTGATTGTCGTATTTATCTGATTTTATTACGAGAATTAAATGGAACAATTGCACTGATATTAATTTAATAAATTGAATTAATATCCAATAATAACATTAAAAAAAAGAAATAAATTATGGAGGTAATTATTTCAAGTATGAAACAAATTATGTAAAATATTACTATTTGGAAACGATGGAATCGAATTTATTGATTGGGTTATATTGCAGTTTTCAAAAAACCCTTTCAAAGTGAAAAATCTTGTGGGAGTACGCGATTTTAATACAGTATATGCTAAGAGCGGTTATAACTATCGTTTAGGGACCAAGCACGTCAGTTTGTAATAGAGAAAGTTTGTTACATTAAATGTAAGGTAAAATAAATGCATATCAGAAAAATGTAATTGAATAATTAAATTTGATAATACGGGTGTACATTCATTAAAAATAGCATAAAAACAAAAATTCGTTGTAAATATTACCAGCCTTAGCCTTAACTTTTGTGATGTTTGTCATCGTTATTTGCACTGTGAGACAAAGTCGTGTGGAAAATTCTTATTGGAAGAAAAAAAAATCGGCATTGGTCGATATACCGTCATGGTTTATTTGGTGGTGACACTATTTTACATGAAGTGATTGATTTATAGCTATTGTATTTATTTTTTGAGATTATATTTATCCGGTAAAATCAAAAGAGGATTTTTTGCACAATATTTTTTTTTTCGTCCATCAATACGGAACTGAGAGCGAGAAAACAAAAAGAACGATGAAAGAGACTGATTCTAATAAACTTTAACCGTGCATCTAAAGGTTTTTTTTTTGTATTTTTACCAATGTTTCGGTAATATTTCCATTCTATTTCGTAAGTATTTCGTGTATAAAACTTTAATATTTTTAAGGTATTAAGTATTATTAAAAAGTAGTTAATTGCAATGTATATTCTTATCAAAATAATTAAAAATATAATGTTTTTAGAAGATTGATAGAAAAAAAATGAAAAAAATGTAAAAAGTACCTTCAGGGTACATTCGCAATTTAAAGTGGGGCCAAGTTCGGCCAAATACAGATAGTGCGATATTATTTCCTTAAGATGTTTTTGAGTTTTTCTTTAAAAACATTCCTTTAATATTGTTCGAAATTACATATATAGGACCAAGCGTACTTGTCTTGACGAAAATGCGATAGAAAAAAGCAATTTCTGACGGTGAGTGTGGCCTTGGATGTCAACGCCCGCCGCTAGAAAATATAGGCATAAGAGTCAAACATTGAGTCGCATATCAACACAAAATGGAACATGTAGAGGATCTGAATTTCAACCAGACTGATAGCGGTGATAATTACCTGGCTATGACTGTGGTGCCGAATGTGCCCCCATTAAATGCCGAAGATACCCAGGATAGGGGCACGTTGGGCGAATTTGACTTTTTTACAAAACTGTACAAATATTCATATATATACTTTTCAAAACTTCCTCAATTCAACATTCCAACAGTCATTTAATTTCCAAATTTCAGGATATCAGCCCTATCCATTCACACGAATTCAAATTGTACCATATTTAGTACTTTTCATACTCATAAGTACGAATATACCAAACTACCTCAATCCTACTTTCAAATGGTAATCGCAAGTCCAAATTTAAGAATTCCAGCTATCTGTCCACTAAAATCCAAATTGTACCAGATTTGGTACCATTCTCTACTTTTCGTACCCATATCCCAAAACTAGCTCAGTCTTACACTCCAACAGTAATCTTAGTTGCAACTTTCGGGATGCCAGTACTACCCGTTCACCAAAGTCCAAATTGTATCAAATAGTACTTTTCGTAACCATAAGTACTGATTTCCAAAACTACCTCAGTTATGCGCTCCAATAATAATGTTAAATCCGCATTTAAGGACTCCAGCCCTATTTGTTCACCTACATCCATATTGTACCAAATTTAGTACCATTTAGTACTTTTCGAACCAATAAGTACGAATTTTCTAAACTATCTCAATACACCACTCCAACAGTAATTTGAATTCCTAATTTGTAGACTACAGTTCTATATGTTCACATAAATCCAATTTCCACCAAATTTAGTTCATTTAATACTTTTTGTAGGCATAAATACGATTTTGTAAAGCTACTTCAACCCTGTACTCCAATAGAAGTCCTAATTCCTATACGCTTAGTACTTTTCATACACATAAAAACGGATTTCTAAAACCATTTCTATACATGAACACCACTTCCCAACCTGTATTTCATATTTTAAATTTCAAGATTCTGGCTATATATTTTCAATATATGAATACAATTAGAACTAAAATTAGTAAAGTTTAGTACTTTTCGTACACTTATATGTCGACCTTCCAAAAACCTTTTGTGCATCTTTCTAACTTTTCAAATACCAAAATATTCCAAATTTCAGAATTCTAGCTCTTCCCGTTCGCCTAATACCATGGGTACCATACTTGGTACATTTTAGTACTTTTCGCACCATTCTAGTTTGAATTTCCAAAAACTCAGCCTTATTTCACGCCTACACACCAACAGCAACTCACACACAAAAATTTCAAGCTTATAACGCAGGCATGCTTACCCATATACGCTACCGTAAACGAGGGTCTCCTTTTTTCTGTTTACGTCAGTCGTGAATTTTCAGTTACGCTCGCAGATACTTGCTCTCAATTTAGTTTTGCCCAACACTGTTCTAGCTTCAGCTGTTTCGTTTGGGCGATTATCTGTCAGTCACTCACGTAACACTAAGCTTTTTATATATTAAGATTTTCTCATAATTCGTCTGCCTGTTTTCCATCCATTAAAGTAGTGAATGCTAGACTACTCTACTATTGTATTATACAGATAAGGTTGATCCAATTAGTCAAAATTTAACAGTTGCAGTCATTAAAGCAAAAAACAAATAACATTACCAACTTTGATTGTATATAGACGGCCGCGAAATAGTTTCTGCGTTTTTTTACATTCCTTTCTTATTTTTGTTAATGCATTGACAACACTGTTTCTCTCCCAATTGTTTATTCCTTTAGTTGTCATCTATTGTCAAATCGGTCGGTCGCGAATTAAAATCGTTAAAAGAAATTGTTTAATTTTCAAAATAAATGTGTTAACAAAAATTAAAAAGTGTTAAATTTGTGAATTCCCTATTTTGATTTGTGTAGTAATTGCAAAATTAAAGCGTTTTCGATTGTAATTCATTAAAAAGTAGTGCCTGCAATGAGATAGTAATTGTTCTTCTTCCTTTGTTTATGAGAGTGCCGTGTGAGTGTTGCAATGAAAGGGAGAGTGATTTTTGGCAATTGGTTGTGCTGTTCGGTTGAATGTTGATCATTCCGTGCATTGTTTTTTTTTCGTTTTAAAAAGTAAACATAACATACGAGTGTGCATTTATGAATTAACCTTTTTAGTAATTATGTATATAAAGACGAAATGTAAATAACGTACCTATGTACATTTGATATATGTCGTGTTTAAAGAGATCATGCAGATATTCAAAGAGAGTTCAAGAATTAATTTCTCTTTAATTTCAAAGAATGTTGTGATACATAAAAAAAATTGTATTTGAAATAATTAATCAGTAATTTAATGTGATATTAAAGATATGGAATTTTATTTGTTATCAATTTTTTAAATGGAAAATAAGTAATCAGATCGTCATTGGGATTAGAGCTATCAATAATGGTAAATGAGGTAAGTTTTTATCGATTTGTTTACTAGAATAAGTCCAAATTTAGATTAGGCGAGTTTACTTGCGGCAAGTCTGTGTTTGTAGGAGAGAGGGGCAAGGGGTATAGAAATGAAAAAAAAATTGCTCGTACCGACAATTTTCTGGCAATTCGTTTTGTGTATTTCGTATTTGTTGACATATTATATATATTTAAATGTGAAAAAACAACAAATAAAAAATTTTTTGGAAACCGAATTGCCTTGTATAGACGCATGGAGCAAGTTCTAAAGAGAACGATAAAAATTGCCGCAAGTAAACTCGCCTAATATAAATCAGGACTAATAAATTCTACAAAAAATGTTAATTACATTACTGAAATTTAATTGCCTTACCGAATTGTTTTGAGAGATGTATCATTCTTATCAGCTTATTTTTAAATATGCACACTTTACATTCAAACATAATTGCTAGACAACGACTCATACATTGCCTTCTATTCGAAAAATGTGAATAAAGGTACCCTCATTCTCTATTTCAAATTTAGACTTGTTAAAGGCATTAAATTGTCCTTGTCCTTAATTTCGATGGTGGGCATGTTGCCGATGACTGGAACATCCGAACTAAAAACGCCAACGCAATTATAAGAAATACACATATGGCTCTGGTATAAAGTAGAATTTTCAACTTGCAAATTAGCGAAATGGGAGACCAAGGAAATAGGGAAGATCTTTACTGGTTGTTTTTTTTCTTTTAACGAGGCGATTCGATTTTTTTGTCTCTAAACCCTTTTGGTTCTACACTCATGAGGTAGATGTAGATCATTATACTTGGGCCGATACTCGCATATAAACATGATGATGAATTAGTATATAAAAGGAGGAACTTTCTTATGTCTCCGAGGGTATGTCAAAATATGGGTATGAAATGAAACATTCTTCAAAAAAGTTGTTCACATTTGAAAAGCCCATATAGACAAATTACAGCCTGTTTTAAGCATAAAAAACGAAGACTAAATTATAATCTAATCAGAAATACAAATATGTTCTTTATTGGGTCTCCGATAAATATTTCGAGCGGTTGCCTCATGTTGTAGGACATCAACTTAGATATAAAAATAAATAGAAGTGGAAATCTGTACAAAATTTATTTTGATTGAATGATTCAAATGTTCTGGTCTCATACTTTTTAAATAATAAAGCTAGTAATTTGAAAAACTCTGGTAAACAGCATTCTTGTTTATCAGGTGTTCTCGACTAAATTCTCGATTAAAAAGTTTATAAAGATAACGTCATTTTGGTTTGTGTTCTCCTACATTTGATTGGAAGTTTTACTATTTTTTTTGGGGCACAGGAAGGATTTCAAGTAAACAATGAAATACTTGTAGTAGTAGATCAGGTTCAGTAACGGAACAAAAATTCTAAAAATATACTTGATGCACAAGTATTTTCCCTTTTTCTTAAAGATTCCGGAACACCTTTTTTTTGAAATGGAAAACAAATTTATTGTCATAACAAAAAATGATGAACACAGTCTTGATTATTTCATCATCTTTTTTAGCCTGTTTCTTATTTTAATTATTCGTTGTTTGGGTCTGAGAAGTGATTGAACCGCAGAATAATCACATTTGATATTTTCAATCTAATAATTTTATACACTCCGAACAACACAACAACAGAAATATACTCGTAAATGAAAAATTAATGAGAACTGACACGCAACTTTTTTTATTGTCTTTATAACAATAACAAAAAACGATATATAAATGAAAAATGAATTATTAAATATTAACTCATTAATGTATAAACAAAAAACAAATCTCAAATGACAGATGCTACCGGCTGTTGTAGCAGAATCGGTTGCAAAGGTTGCTTGTGACTCATCAATCGTATGTGACTGGAACTGTGTGGTGTTCGAGTTCGTACAACACTTTCGAAGCCATTGTCGCCTACTACTTGATAGTGGACACTTCGCACCATACCATTGGGTTCCAGCAGACCATATTGTCCTGTGACTTTATCACCATGTCGTTCTTCCATATGCATCATGTGTACCTTGGAGGGAGCATGATCTATATAATAATGGTATTTATAGTTTAGCTATTGAAGGAAAATGAAAAAAGAGAAACAGAAATTATATTAATATCGGAGAAAGGTATGATTTATGTTCCTATTCAAGAAATTTATAAGGACTTGAACAATATAAAAGGGAAATCTGATAAATACAGAAAACTAATTTACAACTTCCTGTAGCATAGAAAAAACAAAAACTATTACCCTATGTAACTTACCTTATCATCGTTGTGGAAGTCATGGTAATTTGCATAATATTCCATGTAATAGGGAGCCAAACACATGCCGCTCCTTCCCATTACCAGCAGTACAAAGGCTAAGCTTGTCAATATTTTCCCTGTTACTTTCATTGTTAATTCAAGCTGAAAAAAATATCAGAAAAAAAGAAAACACCATTAAAGTCTCCACAAGAAATCCAAAGTAGTCGATACTGTCCCTTTTTCCATATTTTTGTTTAAATCGCCTAATGGCTTCTTATATAATAACTCAAAAGACTGACAACAAAGTTTAGTAAAATTTCGCCCCAAAGCAATGTGGATATCTCAGTCACGTTATAGCATTTTCGCCATAAAACGTTTTGCAAATTATTAAAATTTTTCACACTTGTTGCCACTCAAAAAAAGCTCAGCAGCCTGCCATGGGCGTTAGTTATGCTCCGATTTTTTTTCTTTTTTTGCAAAAATCTTTTGTCTTGCATTTAATCAATTTGTTGCATTGAACTACTGTTATTGCTTTTGTTGCTATTGTTATTGTTGGCGTTGCATCAAATTGTGTTTGGCTGCAACAGCAGCAGCTACTGTCCATTGCTAGTGGCAACAACACAACATCTAAACTGGGCACCTACTCTTACTTCTGTTAATGCGATAATCTTGCGCACATCTATGAAATGTTTGCCATTTCTATGATTTGTGGTTCAATTGCGATTGACCCTATTTTGTTTTGGGCCTTCGTGTCGGGATTCGTGTAAAT